CTTGCTGTCCAAGAGACTCTACAGAGTCTTCTCCAGCACCAGAGTTTTTGAAAGCATCAATTCTCCTGCGCTCAGCCTTCTTCATAGTCCAACTCTCACGTCTGAACATGACTACTGGAAAACCAATAGTTTTGACTCTACAGACCTTTGTCAGCAAAGTGATGTCTGTGCTTTTTAAAACACTGTCTACATTTGTCATAACCTTTCTTCTAAGGAGCAAGCATCCTTTGATTTCGTGGTTGCAGTCACTTTCTGCGGTGATTTTGGAGCCCAAGAACATAAAATTTCTCCCATTTTTTTCCCCTTCTGTTTGACATGAAGTGATGGAACCAAATGCCATGATCTTAGTTTTTTGAATGTTGCGTTTTAAGCCACCCTTTTCACTCTCTCTCACTTTCATCAAGAGGCTTTTTAGTTGCTCTTCACTTTCTGCCATTAAAATGGTATCATCTGCATATCCAAGGTTGTTGGTATTTCTCCAGGCAATCTTGATTCCAGCTTGTGCTTCATCCAGCCTGGTGTTTCTCGTGATGTACTCTGCATATAAAAGTTAAAAAAGCAGGGTGATAATATATAGCCTTGATGTACCCCATTCCCAATTTTGAACTAGTTCATTGTTCCATGTCTGGTTCTCTTGCTTCTTGACCTGCATATAGATTTCTCAGGAGGCAGGTAAGGTGGCCTGGTATTCCCATCTCTGTAAGAATTTTCCACACTTTGCTGTGATACACACAGTCAAAGGCTTTAGCAGAGTCAATAAAACAGAAGTAGATGTTTTTCTGGACCTCCCTTTCTTTTTCTATGATATAGCAGATGTTGACAATTTAATCTCTGATTCTTCTGCCTTTTCTATATCTAGCTTGAACATCTGGAAGTTCTCCGTTCATGTACTGTTGAAGCCTAGCTTGGAGAATTTTGAGCATTACTTTGCTAGCGTGTGAGATGAAAGCAATTATACTGTAGTTTGAACATTTTTTGGCGTTGCCCTTTTTTGAGATTGGAATGAAAACTGACCTTTTCCAGTCCCGTGCTGAGTTTTCCAAGTTTGCTGGCAGCACTTTCACAGCATCATCTTTTAGGATTTGAAATAGCTCAACTGGAATTCCATCACCTCCAGTGTCTTTGTTGGTAGTGATGCTTCCTAAGGCCCATTTGACTTCAGACTTCAGAATGTCTGGCTTTAGGTGAGTGGCCACATCATCGTGTTATCCAGGTCATTACGACCTTTTTTTGTGTATTCTTGCCACCTCTTCTTAATATCTTCTGGTTCTGTTAGGTCCATACTATTTCTGTCCTTTATCATGCTCATCTTTCCATGAAATGTTCCCTTGGTATCTCAGTTTTCTTGAAAAGATCTCTAGTCTTTCCCATTCTATTGTTTTCCTCTAGTTCTTTGCACTGTTCACTTAAGAAAGCTTTCTTCTCTCCCCCTGGTATTCTCTGGAACTCTGCTTTTATTTGAGTGTGCCTTTCCCTTCCTCCTTTGCCCTTCACTTTCCTTTTCCAGCCTAGCTGTGAGGCCTCCTCAGACAGCCACTCTGCCTTCCTGTACTTTTTCTTTGGGATGGTTTTGGTTACTGCTTCCCTATGCAGGGTTGCACAGCTCCGTCCATAGCTCTGCACGCACTCTGTCTATTGCATCTAATCCCTTGAATCTATTTGTCACTTCCACTATATAATCATAAGGGGTTTGATTAAGGTCAGACCTGAGTGACCTGGTGTCTATCCCAGATTTCTTCAGTCAGTTCAGCTCAGTCATGTCCGACTCTTTGTGACCCTCTCCTTCACCAGTTCCCGGAGCTTGCTCAAACTCATCAAGTCAGTGATGCCATCCAACCATCTCATCCTCTGTTGTCCCCTTCTCCTCCTGCCTTCAATCTTTCCCAGCATCAGGTCTTTTTCAGTGAGTCAGTTCTTCGCATCAGGTGGCCAAAGTATTGGAGTTTCAGCTTCAGCATCAGTCCTTCCAGTGAATATTCAGGACTGATTTCCTTTGGGACTGACTAGTTGGATCTCCTTGCAGTCCAAGGGACTCTCAAGAGTCTTCTCCAACACCACAGTTCAAAACCATCAAGTCTTTGGCACTCAGCTTTCTTTATAGTTCAACTCTCACATCTATAGCTTTGACTAGATGGACCTTTGTTGGCAAATTAACGTCACTGCTTTTTAATACACTGTCTAGGTTGGTCATAGCTTATCTTCCAAGGAGCATGCATGGCTGCATGGCTGCAGTCACCCTCTGCAGTGATTTTGGAGCCCAAGAAAATAAAGTCTCTCACTGTTCCCATAATTTCCCCATCTATTTGCCATAAAGTGAATCTTCAGCCAAGATTACCTAATTAAATAAATATCCTCTAGATTGAATCAACTGCTTGTCATCCAGTCTTTGTTTCTAAATGAGATTGACATGAGGTTTATCTGGAGAGGTTTCTTTTTCGGTGCTCTTGCTAGGATAGACCCTTCTTAAGTATTGTAGTTACCCGCAGAGTTCTGGCTTGAATTCCCCCCCCCCCCCCACAGTAATTAATCTTTTGCTGTTTAAGTGGTTGCCCATGCTATGTCAGGTCACTTTTTGTGACCTGCCCCCACCCCACCCCCACCCCCGACTGCAATTCACCAGGCTTCCCTGTCCTTCACTGTCTCCCAGAGTTTGCTCAGACTCATGTCCATTGAGGCAATGATGCCACCATCCATCTCATCCTCCTGCCCTCAGACTTTCCCAGTTGCTCATTATCACCGTAAAACATCCCTTGGTATGTTTCATTGAAGACATCAGTTCTCAAACTGTTTGATCTAAGTAATCCTTGACATTCTAAAAATTTATTCAGGACCTTAAAGAGCTTCAGTTCATAAGTATTATTACATATTACTGAAAAATCTTGAAACTATGTGCTTAATAACTGAGTTAAAATAGCAATAGCCCATTACATGTTTGTAGAAACCACGTGTTTCGGTGGAAAAGAGCCGTGTACTTTCAGAACCGAAACCAAGTAGCCCATCGACGCGGCGGCGCGGCGAGGAGAGCGGCTCTGCTCTGCCTTGGTGCCGGTCTCTCGAGTGTCCGCATTCTGTCTCCTGTGATAGTTGTTTTGGTGAATGTGTATGAGGCGGATCTGGGCTCACATGGGTGTCTGTTTGGAAGAGGGGGGAGTATTTTAATAGTCTGTTCAGACAGCTACGGGTGTCCTTGGTGCTGTGCTGAAATGCCAGTAAGAGTAGCTTCTCGAGTATTAGTCACAGTGTGGAATCTGAAACCACAGCAGTGGAGTTTCCTTACTTTGTGACGTTAAAGTCCAGCATTTGACCTCTGTTTTGAGTGGACTTTTTACCTTGCTTGGTTTTCTCACACATGAATTTGCTTTTGTGGAAAATATAGGTTCATTGAGTTACACAGATCTTCCAGATCTTAGTATCTATTTCTGTTTACAGTATAAAAAAAAAATCACCTTTGTTGATAATCCCACTGGTCACATTGGAAAACTGAATATTAGGAAGCTGTCAAGTTCTTGGTAGTGCGTATTTTTTCAGAATTCCGATTTTAATTGGATGCCAAATTTTGTCCTTGGCAAAAAATACTAGGTTTCTTTTCTTTTGAAGTGACAGGCTCACTTTTCATTTTCGAGCCCTGATCGTCATAGGTTTACCTGTTTGTTCTTCTGAGTAAAGTAGCATCTGTGAAGAAAGCTGCTTGTTCATCTGGGAGCTCGGGCAGATACACAGATGCTTTGTGCTTAGAGTCGGCTCTGAGCTCGGGACGTGGAGAAAGGCTGCGTGCATATTTACTGTTGTGTCGGAGAGCGTTGAGGACACTGAGAATCCGTGATTGAGGCTTAGTTACGGGCTTCTTCAGGGTCATTACCGAGGGAAACCGGCCTCAGCGCTTGTTTTCCTCCTCGGAGGCTCCTGGGCTTCTCCCCGTGGGGCTGTGTGTGTCTGAGTGCAGGCCTCAGCCCAGTGAGAGGGTCAGGTCAGGTATTAACAGTGTTACAAAAGTCAGCTTGACCTGGATAGTTGTTCTTCGCTAAAGTTTTAACTTTTTTTTTTTTTCTTTTTCTATTGCGTAGGAGGGGCTAAGAGAAGTTTTTAAAAAGGCAATCTCACTTGTCTCTGGGCGCTGAAGCGTCCCCGCCCTTCTGGGTCCACCGCAGCTGGGAGGACGGCCGCCTCTGTCCCTGTGGGTCCACCGCAGCGGCGAGGACGGCCACCTCTGTCCATGTGGGTCCACCGCAGCCGGGAGGACGGCCGCCTCTGTCCCTGTGGGTCCACCGCAGTGGGGAGGACGGCCGCCTCTGTCCCTGTGGGTCCACCGCAGCGGGGAGGACGGCCGCCTCTGTCCCTGTGGGTCCACCGCAGCGGGGAGGACGGCCGCCTCTGTCCCTGTGGGCTGTCACCCCCTTCTGTCCTCTAGGTGTGCTCAGACGGCCTTTGGCTCTTGGCGGCCTTCCCTGCTGTTTGTGGCTTTTCTTGCTGGCTCAGAGTGGGCTTGCAGCCTTTATTTGGAAGCTTCTCTGCCTTCCTGACTGTTGTGTAGACATACTTGCCGTGTTGTCTGCAGCTGTTTGGAAGGTACATGGAAAGGAAATACACTGCTTCTGTTTGAAGGCTCACTGCACCCTCTCGCCAGAGCAGAGATGGTTTAGCAGCCCTGGAACTTCAACTGCAGCTTCCTGCTGAGAAAGGTGTATTTGAGCCTTTAAGATGCACAGGCAAATCAGTGGTTCCTGACATCGCTCTTGGGTAACGTGATGAAACAGCACTTCAGCGATCACTCTCCTTGGTTAGTCCTTGTGCCACTGTGATGCGATCAGTTACCATTATGCCGCTTTCACAGCTGAGCATTGAGGCAGGGAGGGAGTTGGGGGGTTTGCCTAAGATCCCAGCGCTGAGCAGCCCCCCAGGACACTCTTCAGGACGCAGGGGCTGGACAGGCCTTGTTCGCTGACACCGCCGCACGGTCCCCGCACGTGCTTGCTGAGTCAGTGATGGGCTTTTCTTTGCAGGCCTGCATTGACGAAAACCTGGACATGGTGAAGTTCCTGGTGGAGAACGGAGCGAGCGTCAACCAGCAGGACAGCGAGGGCTGGACGCCCCTGCACGCGGCAGCTTCCTGTGGCTGCCTCAACATAGCAGAGTGAGTGTGCCGGCGGCACGGGCGGGCACATGCCCTGCTCGTGAGTCTGAGTGTCACACACAGCCGAGGCCGCTCTTTACTGCAGTCGTGAAAGCGGGCCGTTGAGTTATTTTTAAGGAATACTTGATAACTGCTCTTTACATAGCTGCTAAATCTGTAGCGTTTTAGCTGAGCTTTTGTGGTTGCTTCTGTCTGTTGGTGATTCGTGTTTGTTGGGGTAGGCAGAGGTGGCTTCAGTTGGCTGCATTGTCTGGGCTCCATTTCTAGCGACTGTAGCTGGACACGCCTGGGGCAGACCTGGAGAGCTTCTCCACACCCTTTGTGTAGAAGAACCCCACCACACAGTGTCTGGGCTGGAAGGGGTGCGGGGTGAGTGTCTGCTTAGTGAACGGGTGGCCAGGGAGATAAGAGACTTTTAAAAACACCTTTAGAATAAGGCAGTCACATGTGTTCTAGATGAGAATAACCGTGGATTGCTAAGGTAAATTCTCAATAAAGCTGTGGTCTCCTGTGGTCCTTTGAAAGTCAGCTGAGTTGTTTTACGGCCCCTTTCTGCAGGCCTGGAGCCCATTATAGGCCTCCTGTTGGACAGCAGGGTGAGTTGTGTGGGCAGCTCTGCAGAGGCCTGGGAGCAGCCCCACGGAAGCCGCTTCGCCGGGTCCCACGGTGGGGGGCTGCTTGCAGGGAGTTAGAGAGTCCTGAGGAGTGGGCGCCCGCAGGAGAGCTCCCCTCCGGGGCGGCCCCTCAGCCCAAGCCACTCACCCTCAGGCAGCCTCTGCAGAGATGTCCATTTACCTGAGAACTGTGAACAGAGCGTGCTCGTCCCTCCTCACTGGTGTTTGACTGTCTGTTCGGGCGGCTTGTTTGTGATTCTGAGCTACCACATCTCACTCCATCAGGGTTCTGCTTTTCCCCGAGAAGGTGAGAGGCAGAGCTCGGCCTGGTGTCGGGGCGCCTCGTGCTGGCCTAACCCTGGGAATCTCTCTTCCTCCTTTTAAAGGGAAGCTGAGGACAGACAGTGACTGTCATCACTCTGTTGCCGTGGTTTCTTTACCCTGGTTTTATGGATGAACATAGTTCCTTTGGAAATAAGTTCAGCATTTAAGTGTGAACAAATGCTGCCTTGAATGAAGCGGATGGTGAGAGTCACCGTCTCCTCACGCACAGATAACCAGTCAGACATGTGCAGGCCTGCCCGGAGGCGCGAGCTAGACCAGGCCTCGCAGGCTGCTGCGGGCCGTCCTCGCCCTCCCGAGCGTCGCTGACCGCCCGTCTGTGCGGCCGCCTTCCCAGGCCCGCAGAGCCCCCTGCCGCTGCCCGCCTTTGAGGGCCTCGACCGTGGGGCCTGTGAGTGGTATTTCAGAGACGATTAGTGCAGTCATTCCCTTGTTTTGCTTTCTGTATCTTAGAAACCTTAAACTATACTCTCATTCCCAGAATCTTTAGAAACTCTAAAATTCAAGCAAGTGGAAATGAAGAATAGCCAGACTCGCTTTCTAGGGAAGAATCAGTGCCTTCTAGTGTGATGACCCTTTTTAGTCTCATATTTCAACCCTGTGTGATATATTTTTTAAAAGAGATTTAGGGGCTGTTTATTCCTCATTTGGAGTTCAGGCTTATTGCTAGTTATAGTTAGCTGGGTATCTTACATTTCTGTTACCACTAAGTGTTTAACTTAGAAGCGGCAGATTGACCCAAATGACAGCATTTAGTTTGGTTTTATTGTTTATATTAGTGGTGCTAATTTCTTCTGAGTTTTTGAACACATCTCGTTTTCTTTGTTCACCCCTTACAATAGTAGCAAAAAGACCTTACGAAGGTGGTGAGTTAAGAGGAACACAGAGGCTTTATTTTCTTTCTTTCTTATTTTTCTTTTTTGGCCAAGTTGTGCATGGCTTGTGGAATCTGAGTTCCCCGACCAGGGATGGAACCTGGGCCGTGGCTGTGAAAGCACCGCGTCCTAATGTACGTCTAAGGAATCCCAAGAGAGGCTTTATTTTCTTAAGGACATGTTTATTGAGCTAACAGGTATTTCTGAGCCTCAGGGTAACTGTAAAGATCCTCAGGATTAAAATAAATATCACTTCATAGACATGTCCCTGGCAGTCCAGTGGTTAAGATTCTGTACTACCGCTGCAGAGGGCGTGGGTCCCATCGTACTGCACGGCGTGGTCAGAGCGGAAAGGAAACTTCATCGGTTGATACTTGTTGTTCAGGTAACAGTGTGAACCTGGACAGGTTCCGCCCTATTAGCCTGCCCCCAGAATGAGGATGGTCTGGGGGTGGTGTCTCACTTGGCACTCATCTCTCTGATTCAGCGAGACCCAGGTCATTTCTGGACAGGAGTCGTCTCCATCAGGGTCCAAGCACTTCTCAGGAAAGGGAGAAGCAGGGCCTTTGTGCCCGAGTGACCTTGCCCCTGACCCAGTAAAGAATGGGAAAGGTGTCAGAGCGGAGCAGTTCGACGTTGTGTTTATTTCATGCAATGTTTGTGGGTTGCTAAGAGAGAGCGCACGTCGAATGTCATGGCGGTGATGCCCGTGAGGAGGACACAGCTGTTGTCCTGGAGCCGCAGTCAGCTGGTGGGGGCGGCTTCGACATCTCCGTGTGTCACGACCGAGGCCCAGACTTAGTGCCGGAGGCGGAGTCCAAGGAAGAAGAGGGAAGGTTCGGTTGTCAGAACATGGAAAGGCCTCTGAAAGGGGCTTTGAAAGACTTGGAAACTTTTTAATAATAGCAGGAAAGAGGGGAGGGAAGGGTGTTTCATCAGTTGGAGGGAGTGTCAAACTGTGGGAGGCAAGTGAGCTGTTGTGTTTGGGAATAGTGCGGGGTTCAGGGTGAGCAGAGAGGGTGCAGATCAGTCCAGATGTGAGTGTGCAGTGCTGACTCTAGGGGAGCGCAGGGTTCGGGGTGAGCAGAGAGGGTGCAGATCAGTCCAGATGTGAGTGTGCAGTGCTGACTCTAGGAGAGTGCAGGGTTCAGGGTGAGCAGAGAGGGTGCAGTTCAGTCCAGGAGCATGTATCCTTGCTCACCCTATGTATTTTTTGCATTTTGATTTCTCAGGGTTGGGAGGTGAAGGAGCATGGACGTGAAGGGCAGCAGGTGGCCTTAGTGCAGTTAAGGAGAGCAGAGGGAGCGGCTAGCCTCAGCGGAGGGTCTGTCCTCCTGAGTCTGTGAAGGGAGAGTGGAGACGGCTGAAAGTCAGATGAGTTTATTTATGTGCAGTCCACCTGTAAGGTAGACACATTTATGGATGGTCTGTTTATACCAGGTACTAAGTAGTGAGAAAGCAGTACCCTCGAAAAATGTGCTCTAAGTCTAATAATAGCTGCAGATTCTCCTCTGCCAGCTCCTGAATGCAGTGGCCATGTAGTATTTTTTCTTAATCTTCTGCAGTGTCTTTAAAATGTTGTTGTTGTTTGGTCATTCAGTCGTGTCTAACTCTTCATGATCCCGTGGACTGTATCCCCCCAGGCTTCTCTGTCCCTGGGTTTTCCAGGCAAGAATAATGGAGTGGGTTGCCATTCTCTTGTCCTGGGGATCTTCCTGATCCAGGGATCGAACCTGTACCTCCTGCATTGGCAGGTGGGTTCTTTACCAGTGAGCCCCAAGGGGAGCCTCAGTGTGCCTAAAATGAGTGCCCTTTAAACGTAGAAGGGGACCTGCAAATGGTTACTGCATTGTTGATTAGTTGAAGTCTAAGTAGTTTTTCTTTCTCTTTTAAATACTTGTATTTGGGAGCACTCTGGCATTGTTGGGGTTCTCACTGGCCCCAGAGTAACTTGATATAGTGCCATGCCAAGATGAACTAGATTTGAAGTCAGAAGACGGGGCCATAACCTCTGTCCTTTACCTCTAATAGTACCCAGGTAGCCTACTTCCTAAAGTTGTTTAAAACTCATTATATAATTGTACGTGAAAGTACTTTGACAATCAAAAAGTATCTGTGTAAGATATTAAAGTTATCAGGCCTTTCTTCTTTAGGATCCAACACTGTATTGGCTTTCAATATAGAATCTAATTATTTAGAATGTACTGATTTATTTCTTTAGTCATTTAATTTCTGCTTAGAGTGTAGATTTCACGGAGATGGCTGGTTGAAGGGAGAGTTCTGTGGACATGTAACTTAGGCAGATCCAGGAACATTTTAATTTATCCTTTATTGTTCTGTTTTTGTGCCCTAGCACTGTTTAATGTGCTCTTGGTGGGAATGGGGAGCGTGTCTGTGAGGGTCACTCCTTTCTGTCTCTCTGGGGACTCCACTCAGATTTCTGGTGTTCTGAGTCCTCCTGGGAGCCTGGGTTGGACCTCAGCCTGGGGGCGAGCTTTAAGGTGGCTTGTTTCCCTTGTGTTTACAAAGTGCCTTGCTGCCCACTGGGAGTGAGAGAATGGGGTTCAGAAACATGAGTGTGAGAAACCCCACTTGTAGGCGTTGTTCTTACCAGGAAATAGAGACGCTTTGATCCTGATGGTTGAATGCTAGTGGAGTGCCCTTCCTGGGACCACAGTAAAACTCCAGACGGGGACCATGCTCTGCGCAGAGCCCAGGCACAGGAGTGCTGTTGGTCTCACACTGGAGAGGGTGCTGATTCTGATCTTGTCTGCATAGGTATTTCATTAACCACGGAGCCAGCGTGGGCATCGTCAACAGCGAAGGTGAAGTGCCCTCTGACCTTGCAGAAGAGCCTGCCATGAAGGACCTTCTTCTGGAACAGGTGAAGAAGCAAGGTGAGCTGAGGGGTCGGAGGGCAGGAGAGGGCCTATGCATCACCGTGTGACGCTCTGTCAGCTCACGTCAGCCGTCGCTGCCCACGGCACGTGCCCTGGTAGTCCTCGCGTGTGAATCGGCCAGGCCAGACTCCAGAGGCACGCGCAGCCAGCCCATCCCTGCAGCCCTGGGCCGCGCACCGTGTGTAGTCAGGCGGCCGGTGGGCTGTGACGCCGCAGGGCAGACTGAGGAGGGCGCGCCTGCTTCCTCGTGTGCACACAGTGCCGGCCCGGCGTCCACGGCGAGGTCTGTAGAGGAGCAGGCACGTGTCCCTCTGAGTGCTGGCCAGTCCTCTGACTTTGCACCTTTGTTCTTGAGGAGAGCTGAACGTGCTGCTGGTGGGACGTTTGTTGCAACCTCTGAAGTGATCTTTAACCATCCTGATTGTGAAAATTTCTGGTAGTTTGTTACGGTGAGGAAGCTATTAGAAGAAGAAACTGAAAATACTTACTTTATATTTTCAGAAGAATCCACTTCAGAGAACAGGTCAGGATTCTCCTACTGGAGGTCTTTGGGTTCTTTTATTTTTAAAGTTGCGAGTAACGCCAGGCCTACGGGCAGGGAGGACAGGCCTTGGGGCGTCTGCTGGAAGCGCCACAGGGCTGTGTGGGCCCGAGATGTGGGGACGTGCCGAGCTTCGGGGAGCCAGCGCACCCAGTCTGCAGTCCCCCGGCGGTCTCTCTCCTGTGCCCTTCCTGGCGCCATCCCTGCAGGCCAGGCAGGCTGCGTTCACACGCCAGCCGGGGCTGCCTTGCTCCAGCAGCGGAGCGGAGGTGCTGCGGCAGGCCGAGCGCCTGCCGAGCTGAAAACGGTCACGCTTAGTCACGTGTCCGCAACGTTCTGAAGGGAGACCGAGCGCCTGCCCAGCTGAAAACGGGCACACTTAGTCACTTGTCCGCAGTGTTCTGAAGGGAAACCGAGCGCCTGCCGAGCTGAAAACGGTCACGCTTAGCAACTTGTCCGCAACGTTCTGAAGGGAAACCGAGCGCCTGCCCAGCTGAAAACGGGCACGCTTAGCAACTTGTCCGCAACGTTCTGAAGGGAGACAGAATCCCTCACACGTGTCTCTGTGCTCACCTGCTCCTCAACTCTAGGCCACATCGCTTCGCTCAGCATATTTCTCTACTCAGGGAAATGAGATTTAGAGGGAGTTGATTTATAAAAGTGTATGATACCTGAAACTGAGATTCTTGACCCCAGTCTTGGGTGTAGCAAGGGGAGGAGGAGCAGACGGGGGCCTAGGAGGTGACGTTCTGTGGCCCCGATGAGCCACCTGACCTCCGCACATTTGTTCTCTCCTCTTGTTTGGCGGGGGTGGTGGCACCGTACACTCGCCTCAGAGGACTGTGGGGGGGCTCAGACGGCTTCACGTGTGAAAAGATTGACGTGTCCTTTTACAGGTGTTACACAGTAGCAGCCCTCCGGTCTTCACGTTCTTAATTAAGGCTGAGAGCACAGTGCTGGCCTTAGCGGGCCTGCGTCTGTGCTGTTTGTTTTAGCTGAGCGGCCTCTCCCTGGCGGGGTGGCTCTTCTGATGCAGACTAAGTTGGCTGAGCACCCAGGTCGGTGACAGAGCTGCTGCCAGCTGTCGGCCCTGAGGCAGGCCAGCCAGGTCGCGGCGGCTGAGCAGCTGTCCGGCGTGCCTCCGCAGGGCTGGATCTCGAGCAGGCGCGGAGGCAGGAGGAGCAGCAGATGCTGCAGGACGCCCGCCAGTGGCTGAACAGTGGCAGGATCGTGGACGTGAGGCAGGCGCGCTCTGGGGCCACTGCCTTGCATGTGGCTGCGGCCAAGGGCTACTCCGAGGTCCTCAGGTGGGTCCGCACGGTGGCCGGGATGCACAGCCAGGGGCAGACGCAGGGGTGAGGTTCCCAGTGGAGGCGCTGTCCTCCCCGCCCTCCTCCCTCCACGCTGTCCCTCCTCCCCGCCCTCCTCCCTCCTGGTGTCCCTCCTCCCCGCCCTCCTCCCTCCTGGTGTCCCTCCTCCCCGCCCTCCTCCCTCCTGGTGTCCCTCCTCCCCGCCCTCCTCCCTCGCGCCATCGCCTCCTGTACCTGCCGGGTAGTTCACCTCTCTCCTCCTGCCAGGCCGCCCTGGTTTCTCCCAGCGCTCTGACGGGAAGCAGAGTTGGGTGGCCGGCCTGGAGGGGCCTGCGGGTCTCCTGCTGCTCCGCGGTTCATCTCCGGCCTCCCTGCTCCCCCCGCCCCGCTGCAGTACGAGCAGACACGCGTCCCTGTGTCCTCGTTAGGCTGGGGCGTAGGTTTCAGGGGAGCTGTGCTCCCTGGAGTCGGGTGGTCTCCCACGCAGGAGGGGCCTGGCCTCCTGTCCGCCTCCCCGTCCCCGTGCGTCCCCCTGCTGTGTGGAGCCTCGGGGCCGCCGGGCTCGCGCAGCACGGGCTGCTGGCGGCTCCGCGTGTGTCCGTCAGCAGACGCTCTCACTGCTCGTGTCCCGGACGAGGCTCCTGCTCCGTGTGCTGGGTGTCACTGCGCCTGTCTCCAGGGCAGGGTTCCCTCACTTGCTTCCCTGGAGGCCCGCAGCGGCGCTGCCTCCGTCAGCCGGGGCTTCTGCTGGTCTCCACGTGCCCCGCAGCCTCAGTGGGAGCCCCTGCAGACACTCCTGTGGGGGGAGGTGGCAGACCACCCGGAGAGCGGGCGCGGGAGGAGGGGGGAGGATGAGGGGCGGGGCTCTGAGTGATCTCTGTGCTGGGGGGTGACGTGGCTGCAGCCTGATGTGGCCTCTGGGGGGTGGGGGGCTCACTTGTGACAGCCGCGCTGATGCTTGAGAGGCCAGACCTGGGGTTGGGGCCAGGGTCTGCAACATCAGACAGATGACTGTGCGTTGGGCAGAGAACCCTGATGCAGGGGATCTGAATGTCTTGTTTGGGTTCTTCTCAGGCTTTTGATTCAGGCTGGCTATGAGCTCAATGTCCAGGATCACGACGGCTGGACCCCGCTGCACGCGGCCGCGCACTGGGGCGTGAAGGAGGCCTGCTCCATCCTGGCGGAGGCCCTCTGCGACATGGACGTCAGGAACAAGCTGGTGAGTGGGCTGGCCCTGAGCGGCGCCCTGGAGCATGAGGCAGGAAGGCCCTGCTCAGTAGCAGGCATGCCACCGGCGGCTGAGCCCCACACCCGCCCCGTCTACCAGCCAGCGGCGCGGCTCACTCGCCTGGTGACGTGAAACCCGTCTGCTGCCCCTGTTTACGTCGAAGCCCCTGAAACAGAAAATGAAAGAAACGTTCTCACCTTGGCAGAGTGAGCAGTGGGGAAGCCTGACACCACTGTCTGGGGAGGTGCGTGAGGCGCTTCAGCTTTTCATTCAGAAACCTGATAGCTGAGCCCTGCTCACATCCACTCGTTAAAAAAACGGGATGATGACAGCATTCTCAAGTTTGGCTGAAAGTAGTGTTGTCTGGCCTCGCTTCAGGCAGGATAGAGGCCCTGCAGCTTCCTCCCTCACCTGCTGAGTCTGCGGCTCCGGAGACCTGGCTGTTTACTCAGGGGACACTCTGGTCTGCCCCGCCCCACCCTGCTCACCCTCGGTCTGCGGGCCAGGGCCCTTCGCTGAACTGTGGCCGGAGGGTCTCACTTAACGGGCTGCTTCCTGTGACTCAGTCCTGAGTGCACACACCTGGACCTCCTTCCGAGACCTCTGAGAGCCCCTTGTTAAATTTATCGTAGCAATTATGAGCATTTTGGAAGAGATAGAAGTAGAGATTTCAATTGATTATTTGCCAAGAGACAATAAACACTAGAAACGAGGTGATGATTTCCTGCTCACCGTTTTACAAAATACAAAGCCCTGTGTTTGCAGGGTTTTCTGTTTCTTACGTTTCCTCTCTGATGGAGGAGGGATCATCCTGGTGCTCATTTGGCTAGTTAGGGAGGCAGCTGTCAGCGGGTCAGAGCCTGAGGTGAGCACCAGCTTGTTCCCGGGTGGAGGCGCATGACTGCTGCGTCTGTCTGCTCGCCAGGGCCAGACGCCGTTCGATGTGGCTGACGAGGGCCTGGTGGAGCACCTGGAGACGCTGCAGAAGACGCAGAGCGTGGTGAGTCTGCGGGCAGGCCGCGGTCCACGCCGTGGCGGCCTGTGTCCGCATCCCCGCAGCGGCCGCCGTTTCTGCAGGAGCTGTCCACAGTCTGTTAGAGGGAACGTCTCAGAAATCATTGTTGCTCAAGTTAGCTCATTATCTCGTGTCACCTGAGAGCAGCTGGAAGGTAAACACCATGACGACTCTGGTTACCCTGGGGTTCTAGGAAGTGAGTGTGGCGTGTTGGAGTCAGTGTTTTCCAAATGGGGCGTACCAAGGTGAGGACGTCTCATGACTTCCTTATTGACTGAAGGGACTTCTTTATTTAAAGGAGGTTGACTACCGGGAGGAATGTGTTTCTTTCTTAAAAAGCAGGCAAACTCACGAAGCTCAGAGATTTGGCTTGGGCCGGTGCTTGGTCAGTGATTCATACCTAGCCCAGGTCCATCGGATATCCACAGTCCCTCCCTTCCTCTCCTAAGTGTGTGATGGTTTGCTCCTGGGCCCGTGGCGCAGTGCCTCTCAGGAGGACCATGGAGGCGTGTGCCCACGTCCAGGTGCCCTGTGGAAGCCCTCCCCAGCAGGGGCGAGCAGGGAGTGAGTCTCACTGCACTGGAGGAGGGATGTCGGGGTGGGGAGGATGGAGCCGGTCACTGCAGGGCTCGAGCAGCTCCCCTTGGGGCAGAAGAAGGTCACGCTCTTGCTTTGCTGGGTCCTCCTCTGCGGGGCTGTGGCTCGGGCTCAGAAGGGCATGCAGAGCCGCTCTGACGGGAGAGCAGGGGGCTCCCTGCCGGGGCTCCCGGCGCACAGCGCCGTCGGGCTGGGATGGGAGAGGCCTCACTGGGGAGCCCGGCCCCAGAGCGCAGACGCACCAGGTCAGTGGTCCCTGTCGATGAGCAGCGGCAGCCGCTTGAGATACAGTCGCCTTGCTAATTCCACAGTGTGGTTTTCACAGTTAGTTCGGTGTTCATTGTTTTACAGATACTTTAATCTGAAATAGTTTGGGGGCTCATGTAGGACTTGCAGAAATACAGTAGAGAGTTTCCATGTATGTTTTACCCAGTGCAGTTCGTCTCTGAACACGAATAGTATCTTCACTGAATAACATCTTCCCACTCCTAGGAGTGGTGCCTGCCTTTGCCCCTGTATAACTTTGGGGTCTGGGGATATAAATACGTGTTGTCTGGAGTGTGTCTCTAAGTGCTGGGCAGGTTCTCCTAAGGGCTCACTTCCCACTTGGCGCCTGTTTCTCTGTGGAAGCCTTGCCGCCCTAACTCAGCATCGGGATCACAGAGCATTCTCTCCCAGGCGCTTCCTTCAGAGCGAGGTTTGGATGCTTAGGCGGCTGTTGTCCCTGAAGCTCTGTTGCCAGGGTTTTCCTCCGTCCTCACCTTCCAGGCAGCCCTGCCGCTGCGCCCGCTGCCCCCGCGCTGCCTCCCCACTGGTGCGGTGTCCTCGTCACTGCTGATTCCTTCCCAGCAGTCAACGTCTTCCCTTTTCTGTTTTCTCGATTTCCAGCTTCGAAGTGAGAAAGAGACACGGAATAAGCTCATCGAATCAGACTTGAACAGCAAGCTGCACAGTAGACTCTTTAAGAAGTAAGATATTTGGGTTTGAGCCCTGCTGCGTGTAACATACTTGGCTTGAGAATTCATACAGTGAAGAGACTTGTGTCTGATTGTAGCCAGATGGTCTTTAAACATGGGTGGATGTTTGAGGGGTGAGGAGGTGGGTGGCATTGATGTGGGGGAGACCTGTGAGTGGGTGAATGTGTGTTCACTTTGCGAAGTATTGGAGACCGTGTGTGATTCTTTTCTCCCAGCTACGGGCTGTTAGTCCCAACTGCTTCCCGAACTAGAAGCTCTGAGTCTGGGGCCCCATGCGTTCTGTTGCCCCTGTCCCGTTGTCTCGCGTGGTCCTGGCTTGCAGTGATCACCCAGTAAGCACCTGTTAAGTGACCGGTTAGAACCGGTCACCCCGTTCGCCACGAGGAGTCGCGGCCCTCTGTTCCCCTGTGTGCGGAACAGCCAGGCCCCATGTCGGACACCAGATGGATCTGAGGGAGGGTGTGTGCGCTGTCGTGTACTGCTTCTGCACAGAGGTTCCTCGCTTGTCCCCCTTCTGCCAGCTCCGCCATGAGCTTAGACAGTGGCCTCTCCTCTCTGAGTGATGCTCCGATTGTCGTCTCTACTTTAGCAAAGAGAAGATGCTCTGTGAGGAGGAGACGCCCAAGTCCCACCGGATGGAGGAGGAGAGCAAAGAGTCCAGCAGCTCCAGCTCCGAGGAGGACGAGGGGGAAGACGAGGCCTCGGAGTCAGAGGCCGAGAAGGAGGCGGGGGACCCTGAGGCCGTCAGTCCGCAGAGCGCTGGGGGCCGCCGCGTGTCAGAAGGCAGGTGGCGGCGGCCCTTGGGGGCCCGATTCCCAAACAGCGGCCTGAAATCGTTTTCTTCTCCCTTCTCATCACGTGAAGCCCCTGTAGTTGCCGGTTGGGGACTGAAGAAAGAATAGAATCCTGGTTACCTTTCTAACTCTTGATGATACACATCGTGTTGAGAGCCTTAAGTTTGCTATGCAGTGAGAGTAGGGTACTGAGCACAGTCGGACCACCAGGCTCCGGGTTAGCCCGGGGTCTCCACTTGCGGGCAGGTGGACGCCGGGCTCCAGGTTAGCCTGGGGTCTCCACTAGCGGGTGGGCGGATGCCAAGCTCTGGGTTAGCCTGGGGTCTCCACTTGCGGGCAGGTGGAAACCGGGCTCCAGGTTAGCCTGGGGTCTCCACTTGCAGGCGGGCGGATGCCAGGCTCTGGGTTAGCCCGGGGTCTCCACTTGAAGCGGGCAGGTGGACGCCAGGCTCCAGGTTAGCCTGGGGTCTCCACTTGCGGGCAGGTGGACGCTGGGCTCCAGGTTAGTCTGCAGTCTCCACTGTGGGCAGGTGGATGCCAGGCTCCGGGTTAGTCCGGGGGTCTCCACTTGGCGGGCGGGTGGATGCTGGGCTCCGGGTTAGCCTGGGGTCTCTACTCACGGGGACGCCTGGAAGGGGACACCGGGCTCCAGGTTAGCCCGGGGTCTCCACTTGTGGGCGGGCAGACGCCAGGCTCCAGGTTAGCCCGGGGTCTCCACTTGCGGGCGGGCAGGCGGACGCCAGGCTCCGGGTTACCCCGGGGTCTCTGCTTGTGGGTGGGCGGACGCCAGGCTCCGGGTTACCCCGCGGTCTCCGCTTGCGGGTGGGCGGATGCCAGGCTCCAGGTTAGCCTGGGGTCTCCACTTGTGAGCGGGCGGATGCCAGGCTCTGGGTTAGCCCGGGGTCTCCACTTGTGGGCAGGCAGACGCCTAGAACGGGACACCGGGCTCCAGGTTAGCCCGGGGTCTCCACTTGCAGGGGTGGGTGGCCTCCAGGCTCCGGGTTAGCCCGGGGTCTCCACTTGTGGGCGGGCGGATGCCGGGCTCTGGGTTAGCCCGGGGTCTCCACTTGTGGGCAGGCAGATGCCTGGAACGGGACACCGGGCTACAGGTTAGCCTGGGGTCTACTCGCAGGCAGGGGGATGCCTGGCAGAGCCGGATTTTGCTGAGTGGGTCTGCCTGTGGCAGTGGCTCTCCTGGATAACTGGGGGCTCGTGGTGAGCTGAGACTCCACAGGCCAGGGCCTGTGGTCACCATGTGTTCCCCTCCAGAGGTGTTCTGAGAAGACGCAGGGTTTTCGGTGAGGGGGAAGGCCCGCCTTGGCTGAGAGTCAAGTCTGCGTCCCCCCCCAGAGCCTGCCCGTCCCTGGCACCTGCTCTGTGAGGGAGTCTCCTTTACTGATGTGATTTCACAGTTCCAGGGGAGCGCTGCCCTTGTCCGCGTCTGGCCTCTCAGAGGACGTTCAGGACTCTCACTTCTGTAGAGCAGATGGGCAGCGGCTTGGCCTGTAGGGCAGAAGAAGGCCGTTCAGCCCCTGAGACGCAAGTTGCAGGCACAGCCTGCTTCCAGGCGCGCCCGTGTTGAGCCCGTCAGCCGTATGTGCATTTCTCTTCCCAGAGTTTGGTTTTTTCCTGGGGCTTCCAGTGTTGCCTGGAGCGAGCGCCCAGGCTTCTCTGTGCCCGGTCCCCACCTCCGCTGCCTGGGCTGCCGATGGCCCCAGCTGCCCAGGCCTCAGGCCTCTTGTTCCTGCAGCCTGGCTCCACGCCGCTCACGCTGCTGCCCCCCCAGAGCCTCCCGCGCCTCCTTCCCAGCTCTGCCTGCAGCGGGCCCGAAGCCCCATGGCCCGGCCGCCAGGACCTCTCCTGCCAGGCTGCAGCTGGCCTTTGCTGCACTGCCCCAAGGCCGACGTGTGCCAGCTGCCCTGGGCTGCTGGAGCTCCCACACGGGCCCCGGGGTCCTCCCCATAGGTGCTTGTGCCGTGGGCTTCAGCTCTGCCACCGGGAGTGGACCCTGTGACTTCTCAGAGGCTGTGGGGCCTGCCAGGCTGAGCAAGTCTTTCTTCGGGCTTTCCGAAGAAAAGCTGTGGGGAAGCTGCAGACAGGCCTCTGCCCAGCGCTCTCACTGTCTGCCCTCCGGCAGCGCCCCCCACCCCCCTAGGCTGTGGCCAGGACCCGGGGCTGGGGTCTCTGGGGGTGTTGCTCCCGGGTCCCGGCCTGTACTTGGCCTGGGTTGGGCAGGCACAGTCATGGGTGCTTTGCTGAGTGTGTCCTGGGCACGCAGAGAGTAGGAGGGCGTGTGCGTGAGTGAGCGGCAAACGCAGCGGCCGTGCCCCCTCGTGAGGGGACCATGAGGTTGGGGTTTATCCCGACACTTTCGGACCGAGGTCAAGGAGCTTACCTCCTCCCGTGAGCGCATCCGCATACGTCTATACAGGCACAGCGCTTCACATTTACGTGGTGCTTTTAATCGCAACACCCTAAGTGTGCTCACTTACTCCTTACACTGCACTGTGTGTAAGCAGGAAGGTGACCCCACAGGTGAGCTGAGAGGTCTCAGAGCGGGGGGCGGTGTGCCGAGACCCTGACTCGGGCTCAGAGCAGCGGGGTGGATGACGCGCAGAAAGAACCCGGGGAGGGCCTGGCCCCCAGGGTGGGGCTGAGGAGAGCTGCGCCGTGGGAGAGGCAGGAGTGGGAAGGAGGCCGGGGCTCTTGCGGGCCATTCCCGGGAGCCAATGTGTCCCAGGCTCCCCGTGTCCCCTGTCGGCCGAGACGCTCTCCTAACTCGGGGCCCGCTCGCCAGTCGCGGGAGCCAGTGTGTCCCAGTCTCCCTATGTCCCCTGTCGGCCGAGACGCTCTCCTAACTTGGGGCGCCCTTGCTAGTCCCGGGAGCCAGTGTCTCCCGGGCTCCCCGTGTCCCCTGTTGGCCGAGACGCTCCCTGACTCGGGCCCCCTCGCAGCCCTGCTATCCTGCCGTCCTGTCATCTCTGCACAGGGTTTCTCCTCTGACTCGGGTTCCCGCGGGTGGAGCCGCTGTTACTTGGATGGCTTAGCCTCCATGTGAGTTTGCTCTCCCCCAGCAGTGGGTTACGGGCGCTTGGGGACGCGCCGTGGCCTGCTGACCTTCCTGGCGCTGGGTCCTGGGCAGGACAGGTGCTCAGCACTCACTTGGTGGGGCTGTGGGGGCGGCTTCTGCCCGAACCTTCCAGGTGCTGCCTGGACCCACGCAGGCCGAGCAGGCCCTGACCACAGGTAGAGCCTCGTGAAATGATGGTTTCCGTGTGTATTACACACGCATGTGGTTATGAGGAGTGTCAATGATGTTCTGAGGTAGGTGTGAGCAGTTTGGCTTGGAGTTCTGTTTTTCCTTTTCTCGTTCTGATTTGCCGTGAGCCTCTGCTGTGTTAGTGACCCGCTGCTGCGTAACAAGCCAGCCCGGATCCTGGGGGCAGTAGGAGAGCTGTGTGCGTGCACCAGTGCTCCGGCTGGGTGACTTGGGGGGCGTCTGTCGGGCGGCTTCCCTGTCATCCGTGTAGGCGCACTCAAGCCTGCGGTGAGCTGGCCCGCGGCCGGGGGGCCTTCTCCCTGAGGGGCCATCAGGCCCGCAGCCCTGCTCTCCCCGTGGCAGCTGGATTCCAGCCGTGATCAGAGGGCAAGCTCCTCACACGTCTGCTCGTGTCCCATTTGCTTCTGTGCCAGGGGCCACAGACGGTCGGGGGTCAGGCTTGGAGTCAGTGTGGGGGCGGGGGGCACACGCAGGATATAGGCTCACTGGGCTGGCCCTGGGACAGCTTTTGTGGTTATTGTGAATATTCAGGGCAGTCTGAACATCTCTGCCAGGAAGACTGCCTCGCTGCCAGGCCTGACACTGTGACGCTTTATGAACGGGGGATCTGGGGGCTGGGCCTTTGGAGTCCCGGGACCGGAGGCGCAGCAGCCCCTGGGTACACACAGACAGGGCTTCTGTCAACACCCCAGGAGGGGGCCCTCCTGTTTATGTCTCCCAGCGCCCTCCGAGAGAGCCCCTGAGAGCGCTCTCCACCCGGGGGCTGCCGCCTGCCTGTCCCCCTGCCACGGCCCCCCACGCCGCCTGCCCCGCCTTCCTGCCCTCGGAGGGGCAGCTCCTCTCTGAACCCACTCTGCACCGGATGTGTTTGACCTTGTGTCGTCACCATGATTGTTTTGCATCTTATCTCTTCTTTTTCTAATTGCCTAGGAAGCAATGTCTGTCTTGTACTTTCTCTGGCTTTTTCTGCCCAACCCCTCAGTGGATTCTGCTTGTACTTCCTGATGAATTGTATATATGACGTATAGTGAGAAGGTTGTCCGTTGTTCATGTGGGAATTGGCGTCAAGACAGAATTTCACTTGAGCCTGCTCTCTTGTAAGAGGCAGGGACTGCGGAGGTCTCGTCGTGGTTGGAATCTAAGCCTTCGTGGCCCTGGCGACCTGTCTGGTAGTGGGCACCTCCTGTGTTAGAGCGGCACAGGCATGCGTAAGGGTCTCCTAACGCACTTGTTGCTTCTCCTGTCTTTCACACCAGATGACGGGCCAGGCGCCACCACCCCCAGCCGTCCCAGCCCTGACGGCAGGAGCAGCGTCACGGAGCAGACCCCCGCACCCCCGCAGAACGCCGTCCCCGCCTCTTCAGCCAGGAGAGTGAGTGTGCGCTTGATCCGGATGTTGCGCCCGTCACGGTGACAGACAGTTGTAAAGCCCCTAAAGACACATTCGCGCCGTTTTCCTCTCGTGAGCGTGGTTGGTTACAGTGTGCGGCGCAGTGATTGTCACACATGCGCATATGTATCTCTTTTCCAGATTTTTTCCCTTATAGATTATTACATCATACTGAGTAGAGGGCGCCAGTGCCACACAGGAGGTCCTGGTCTGTCTTGTATGTTTCTGCTGGTTAGTTGCTAAGTTGAGTCTGACTCTTTGCGACCCGCATGGACTGTAGCCCGCCAGGCTCCTCTGTCCGTGGGATTTCCCAGGCAGCGATACTGGAGTGGGTTGCCGTTTCCTCCTCTGGTTTTACAGATAGTGGTGTATACATGTTAGCGCCAAATTCTCTACTCACCCCTCGCCCCCTCCTCCTTCGGTGACCACGAGTTCATTTCTGTCTGTGAGTCTGTCTGTTTTGTAAACAGATGCATGTGTATCTTTTTTTTTTCAATTCCACATACCAGTGGTATCGTGATACTTGTCTTTCTCTGACTGACTTCACCTAGATCATCTCTAGGTCCGTCAGTGTTGCCACAGATGGCCTTAGTTCATCCCTTTTTGTGGCGCTGTCATGGCCGAGTGTTCCATTGCACTCGTGTACTGCCTCTCCGCATGCCTCCCATCGCGGTGTAACACCGGGGCCCAGACAGGGCGCTTTACATGTCGAGGTCTGTGTCCCACCGTCTGGAGGCTGGAAGTCCGCGATCGCGTGGCTGGCAGCTTCGGTCCGTGGTGAGGGCTCTCTTTCTGGCACTCAGACGACCCCCTGGTCTCCAGATGCAGCTGCCCTGGGTGTCAGGGCGTCAAGATGTGGGTCTGGGGGTGGACAACAGCACTGCATTCATGACTTGCCCACAATGTGTGTAAAAAACTTAAAAGCCGTCACCAGGCCATTTGGCCACAGTGTGTTGAGGTGACCCGGGGTCTGGTGGCCTGGGGCCAGGAAAACGCTGCCCGTGGCCTGTTGTCTCCGAGTCTGAGGTTGGGGTGCGTGGGTCAAGGCCGGGCTGGGCGGAAGCCGGCCAGGGCGCACCCTGGGCACTGCGACGCCCACTCGTGTCTTCACTCTCCCTCCGTGAGTGAGGTCTGTGCAGCTGCTGGCGGGAGAGCGGAGGTCGGAGAGGCTCAAGGCCGGCGGCCTCCCTGGCCTCATCAGCCTGAGGCTCGCCGTGGGGGAGCTGGCGTGTGCTTTGACTGAGGTGCTGGGAAGCGCCACACTTCTGCAGACACTCCCTCACTCGCTGGCCCCCTCGGTGTCTCGTGGGTGGGGCTCCGGTGTCCTCGTGGGGACCAGAAGGCAGAGGCTCAGCCTCTCCACGTTCCTGGGCGCTGCCGTGAGCCGTCGGGCGGCACCGGCAGGACGTGGTCCTCCATGGTGAGGAGTGTGACTGGATCACCCGCTCTTTAGGAGGAAAAGGACTGGATTAGGAACGCCACCGACACACACCCGTGCCGCTTGGCTCGGAAGGTGCCGGGGGGGTCCAGACGGCTGTTACAGAGCCCACAGGGCGCCTCTGCCCGCCCCTCGGGTGCCGGAGCAGCAGATCCGAGCCGGCACAGGCTTCTGCTGCGTTCCGCTGCGTGCCCGCTGTGCCAGCAGCAGAGCTGGCCCGGTCCTGGGGCGAGAGCAGCGCTCCAGCAGGCCCCCGCGGATCGGAAGGTGCCGGGGGGGTCCAGACGGCTGTTACAGAGCCCACAGGGCGCCTCTGCCCGCCCCTCGGGTGCCGGAGCAGCAGATCCGAGCCGGCGCAGGCTTCTGCTGCGTTCCGCTGCGTGCCCGCTGTGCCAGCAGCAGAGCTGGCCCGGTCCTGGGGCGAGAGCAGCGCTCCAGCAGGCCCCCGCGGCCAGGGGCGTCGGGCGCTGGTGGTCCCGGCGAGGCCGAGCCTCAGCCTGCCTTCGGGCTGACCCCGGCCTCTGATTCGCTCTGTGGTTTGTGGAGATGAGATGCTTAAGGACAGTGTAAGCTTTCCGTGAACCTTTCTTTTCCAACGTTAACTTTACTTTTTAATGAAATGATGGTAATGAAAATGGTGATTCATTTTTGAAAGCTGTTCTCTTGGCAGAATTTAAAACCTGGCAACCCTATAACTTCTACCATTTTTTTCTTTTTGATTTTGCTGTTCCTTGAAATCTGAAATGCTTAGAACTGCTACCTGTATCAGATAAGCTGTTTCCTTGACGTAAGCAGTTAGAATTTGGGTGGAGAGGCCTGCAGCATCTGTGTCAGTGTTGCCTTAAGTCAGCTCATAGTCCCATCACAGGGCTGGGGCCACCACCCGTGTCTCCCAGGGTCCACGTGTTGTAGGAGGGTCAGCGCTCAGCCAGGTTCACAGGTGGGAGGGTGGAGGTGTGCAGAGGGGCGGGCTGCTGTCCCTGGGCCCCGTGTCAGCACTCGCCCTGCTGGTGGGTCCTCTGTTGGGTGGGCGCCCTGGGAGGGGCTGGGGGCTGCCGAGGGGAGGGTGGCCGTGGCACCTGGCCTGCTGTGGGCCCCCTGCCCTCCTCACGTTGCCCTCGCCGCTCAGCCGAGGGTGGGAGGAGCCATCGGGACCTGACCTCTGGTGCCCCTTCCCTCGTAGCCCTCCAGTCTCTTCAGCAAGCCGGAAGAGACCAGGGATGAGTCTCCGTGTTCATGGAGGCTGGGCCTCAGGAAGACTGGCAGCCAGAACGTGCTGAGCGAGGCTGCCGGAGCCAGGGAGGCCCTTCGGGACCGGGGCGCGTCCGTCCACCGCTCGGCCTCCAGTCCCCGCATCTCTGCCCTGATGGACAGCAGAGAAAAGGTGTGGTGGTGTTCCATGGCTGTTCAACCTCGGGGACATATAGAAATAGTTTCTAGTCCCTAGTTTGGTTCTGGAAGTACGGAGCCTTTAGAAGGAGACAGGCGGGTGGATCACCACGTGGCTGTTTGCTTGTGATGATTTTCAGCCTGGCTGGCCTTCTGTTCGTTCTTTGCGTCCCTCCTCCCTGGGGCAGAAATGCAAGTGAGAACGTGAGGGCTGGGAGGTGGCCTGAGACGTTCTCTGAACCAGCACCAGTGGTTTATTCTCTTGGTGTTCAGAAGCAGAGTGCCTTAGTTGGGCTTTCAATCCTGATGAAGCTCGGGCAACTGAGCACTTAGAAAACAAACTTCCGTGTCCACGTCCCTGACTGACGGGTGTATGCGACTGAGCCCTCAGCTGCTGTCACCGGGAGCCGTGTGTTCCTGGTCTGGGGTGGTCCAAGTGTCACGGGTCATGCTGCCGGCTTGTCTGATTGGCCGGGTCTCCTCTGAACGCAGCCTCCACACTCAGCCCTGTGTTTCTGGAGATACTCGGGCCAAGGTATCAGCCCTTGTGTTGTACCTGTGGCTGCCTTTCAAGGCAAAGAATGTCAGAACGCAGCTTGTCTGTGGCTTTTCAGAAGTCCCTTTTTGGTGGGACTGCTGCTGTTCCCTTATTTGATCACCCCGGCTTTTTCCGAGAGAATTCTCTCCCTACATGTTGGTGTCTAATGGAGGAGAGCTGGGAATAAGCCCTTGTTAATACTTCTCAAGCCGGAGATGGTGTTGAGTCTGGAAGTAAATCACGCAGGTGTGTAAGTCCTGCTTCGCTGCCCCGCGGTGTCAGGGTGGCCTTCTCTGTGCCTCACTTGTTTTGACTTTGCAGGAGAGAGAACCCAGAAGCTCCTTGAGTTCACTGGGGCCGCGGAGGCCGGGCAGCACTAGCGACCTCGAGGAGAAGGAGAACAGGTACTGTCGTGCCCCGTGCCCCCGTCCGGGACCCCCAGCCCCACCCCCGCAGGCCCTCAGCGCAGCACGGGGTCCCCGACCCGCCAGGGGGCTCGTGTTTGTGCACAGGGGCTCTGTGTCCACACGGGTCTCAGCACACGGCCCGTCTGTGGGCAGCACTGAAAACCTTGTTACGGAATGGAGTCGAGCAGCTACTATACTAGTTTGTACGTTGATGTTAAGATGAGTGTGGGAAGTGTGACCTACGCCGTGTCTCAGAGCCGCCGTGGGCTGGAGCCGGCTCCTCAGGGCGTGGTCAGCTCGCGGCCCGGGCACCGCCCGCAGCGTGCTGGCGATGCAGAGGCCTGGTCCTCCCAGGCCTGCTGGGGCGGGCTGCGCTTGCGCACAGTCCCTGCTGGGGGAGGGCTGCCGGGGGCCTGGGGAGGCAGAGGTCCCGGGCTGCCAGCTGCGGTGAGCCCCTCCTGGGCGTGCGCTCTGTCGTGAGCGGAGGGGCTGCTGCTGCTGGACGCGCGTCCTGCCCATCCCACCCCCGCTCTGCTTGCTTGGACTGACCTGCCCTGGGCTGACCCACCAGCCTTTCTAAATGAGGAGCAAAGTGACCGTTCCTTCCAGAAGCTCCAGAGCCTGGAAGCGCGGCCGTGGTCCCCAGTGAGGCAGGCTGGCCCTGAAGCGGGTGAACGAGCAGACAGATGCCGAGCCGGTCCTCTGTCTGCACGGGGGCTGCTGAGTCCGCAGACCCTGAAGGGCGTCCCGCGTGCTCCTTCGCTGCGCGCGCGCCTACATAGACAGCAGCCTGAGTGCCGCCCTGTCTGTCCCGCCTCCGCAGAGAGTCGGCTGCTAACCTGGTGCGCAGCGGCTCCCAGCCCCGGCAGCCCTGGAGGGACGCAGCCAAGGGGAGCGAGACCCCGCAGACGGGCGCTCCCTCGACCTTCGTGTCGACCTTCCTGAAAAGGTACCTGCTCCCTCATTCTGGCTGTGGACAGATGGGTAGTACCTGCATGCCTTTTTACACCCAATTAGCATCACAAAAGTGAATCAAAAAATAAATAGCTTTTAGATTTCTTGGAATTAGCATTTTAAGTGATTTTGAATTAAAATTAATTTTTTTTCCTAACTGAATTAGAGTACGCTAATTCCAACTTCTCCCCACAGACAGATCTGACACACACTCCACCCTTTCAGTCCTGGGCAGTCTGCAGCCAGTCATGGCTCCCAGTAGGCTCTGAGCCCGACTGAACTTAAGCCCTGTCCTCATCTGCAGTCCCACCTGGGGAGCGGGGAGGCAGGGAGGGGCCCAGAGGGTGTCAGGGGAGGTGGGGACAGTTTTTAATTTAAAAGTCTTGTGTTGAAGCCTGTTTATTCAGGGACTTGAGTTGTTGTTTTTTTTTATGACTTTAATGGCCCTCAGATCCATCAAGATGTGAAAGTCGCAAGTGTGTGCAGAGAAGGTACCCGGGCGTCCTGCCCTTTCTCATCTGTATGCCCCTTTCTGCAGTTACTTTCTTTGCCACGTGCCAGCCAGCGAGCAGCGCAGCTTTGCCAGAGCCCTGAAGCTGTAAGACACAATTAATATTTCAGCTTAAACTTTGCTGCTCACATGGAAGACTGACTCTCGTGGCTTCTTCTGAATTCTCTCTTCACTCCCACTTTCTTAACCCCTCCACCTGCCTCTTCATGCCACAGTCTTCATCATTAGGTGTTTGGGTGATTGGTTGGCTACCCTAGATACAGGCTTTGGCCACAGGCTGTGTTTGGGATAAAAACTATTTTCATTTGACTGGAAGAATCTTATCAGCCAGTTAACGTCAGAACGTGGGCACCGTTCCGAAATCAGAGAGCCACTGTTGCCTCTTGAAACTTCGGTTCTGCAGGCGTGTCCTGTAAGAGAAGGCTCAGCTTGGATAGTGTGCCCGTCCAGTTCAGGGATGAACTTGAAGCTTGTCCTACAGCCTCCGTGCTTCTGGCTTTACTGAGGCTGTTGCCTGTTTGCCTTCATGGGTGAGGCCTTAATCTGAATAGATGCTTTATTGCTCCTTACGGTTGGATCCAAGGCTAAGAACACTTCTCAAGGAGAATAACGTCTTAGACCTTAGGGAAGGTGAGGCTGTGTTCACTGCTCAGGCCTACTGTTGTCCATGGTAGGCTGGGGCTTCCGCGCCCACGTCTCAGCGGCGGATGGAGGGAGCAGTGTTTGGTGGGCAGATGTCGTCTGCACAGTCGGTGAGCCGAGAGCTGGGGTGGGGGGAGGGCCGCTTCTCTGTAGGGCGGGAACATGCTTCCTTCTGCAAGCGAGTCTGAGAGAGCAAATCTTATTTTATGATCTTTCAAAAGGAAAGAATCATACACAGGCACTATTTCAGACAGAAAGCGTGAGTAGGTATTTGTCATTCTTGGACTATGCCAGCTCTCAGAAGCTTTCCGCTTTCCGTTTTCTTCTTATTTTTTAGGCAGAAATTCCTTCCGTACAGTCCAGTAAGATGCGTCTTTTGCCCAAGAAGTCTTGCTGACCGTTTCAGGTCACGCGCAGTTTGCTGTTATAGTCAAGTTTTTAAATAAATTCTCACTCAGATGATCACCTGCAGCAGTTGAGGTGGCTGTTGCATGTCTCAGTGGAGCAGAGAAGCTGGGCGCCGCCGCCCACTGGGTGCTGCTGTGTAGACGTGGACCCCTGACCCCTCGAGGCGCCCTGGCCTCTCTCTGCTCTGTGCTCCGTGCTGAGTCTCTGCTCCAGAGCGTCTCCAAGCTTTTGCAGCGGTGCTTCTGTTTCAGGGAGGCCTCTGGGCTCGCATGACTTTCTGTCTTGGAGGTGGTCAGAGTTTTGTCCTAATGAAATGGCTGTTTCCGGTCTGCCATCTCAGGCCCACCTCGTCCACGCGTTCTGCTTCCTCCTGCTGCACCTCTTCTGTCCTCCCCTCTGCGGGGTGATGGGCGGAGGCCTGCTGGCTGCGGGCCCAGTGCGGGTCGGTGGGTCCCTCCACGCCCAGCGGTTGCGTCCCTTCCTCCGGCCAGCTTGCTTGCAGCACCCAGCTGGGTGGGGAGGTGGTGCTGGGCGTGCGCTGAGCCGCGTATCCTGAAGGGCGTGACCATGTGCTGTTCTGCAGTGCGTCCTGTGCTGGACGTGGTGGCTTTCCGGCCCATTGCAGCCCACTCCTGCTGCCCCCTCCTTTCTGGGGGTCATCTGCCCTGGGCAGCCGGCAGCCCACCTCCCGCCCCACTCTGCGCACCATGGCAGCCAAGCGGCTGGGCCGGCGGGCCTGCGGGTGCGGCGTGGCGAGCTCAGGCCTGCGGTGCCACCCTGAAGCCGCCTGTCCTGTCAGCGGAGGGGCATTCAGGCCTCAGCTTAGCAGGACCGCTTTCGCCTCAGTAACCCTACAGCTGGGCCTGCAAGGCCAGGGTCGGACTGCTGTGGTGAGTTGGAGGTCACAGACATCCCATCTTTCACTTACGTTTTCTGTAATTCTCAGTAGGACTCTTCTGTGTGTCTTTCTGGAGGATGGCGTTCAGATCCCGGTGGGCTGAGGCATGGTCCTGCTCTGGACGCGCTCGGGCTTCGGGGGCGGGGCCGTGGCGCTGGTCGTGTCTTCCTGGTGCCCGGCCCTTCCGCATGTGACGCAGCGCGGAGCTTCCCCTGCGGCCGTGGCTGGTGTGACTGGTCAGAGCCCTTCCCCGGGTGCAGCCAGGGCCCTGCTCTGCTTCTGTCCCTGCAGCTGGTGCAGGAGACGAAGCCTCAGCGAGGGCAGGGCTCTGCCTGGGCCCATGCTGGGGCCACCTGACGCTTTCCTCCCAACGCAGTGCTGGGCGCCGCTCACAGCCCTCGCGTGACCGCACACACACTCGCCAGGCCCTGTGACAGCGTGTTTGCACAGGGCGCTAGCCCTGTGGGGACAGGCATGTTGTCCCCACATGTGGCGATGCTGAGGCAGAGAGGCTCCTGGCGAGCTCAGAGTGTGGCCTGGGGAGGAGGCGTAGCAGCTGCCCCTGTGTTGAGCCCTAGCCTGGGCCAGGCACGGGGCTCGTGCTGAACAGAGTTATATCAGGACTTGGTTCACTCAGACGTACAGTACATCTGGTAATAGTGACTCACGTATGATGAATCTTCATTTTTCCTCTCAGTTGGGATGGTCACAAGATAGGGCTGGCACATGGCTTGAGTCACAGTGGTTAGATCGTGGCTTCCATTTCCAGGGGTTGCCTCATGGTTCAGAGTAGCTGCTCGAGTTCTTGCCGTCACGGCTGCATTCTAGGACACTCGAGGGAGGAGGAGGAGAGGGGCTGGTTTGCCAAGAGGGAATGCCTCTGACCGAGAATTCCCCCCGGAGCACTAGCTTTCTGCTCTTGCCTCGCGGGCTCCCTCCAGCAGCCAGGGAGACTTTGAGGCGTGTGGATCCTTAAACGGTACACGGCTGCCCTGAGCTGTAGGGGCCTGGAGTGAGGAGCGTGAATGTAGGTGTGTCCTGTTGGGTCCTGAGGAGCCCTCCAGTGTGTGAGCAGCGGCCGTACTTTATAGATGAGGAATCTGAGACCAAGAGCGCAGCGATCTGGCCTCGGTCTCAGGCCAGAAGGAACAAAGGTGGGTTGGAGCCTAGATCTGTGTGTGCCGGGGCTCTTGTCTTTTCACTTCTTTTGTTTCCACTGAATTTATCTTTTATTCTGGGCACTATACTAAGTGTTCCACAGGCTATGTTTTATTTAATCTCATAAGACCTTGCACTTCCAGGCATCCCCATCCCTGTCTTAGAGGGCGAGAGATCAGAGAGGTTAAGCTTGGCCCCAGGTGGTTCCAAAGCCTCTAGTTCCCGCCCCAGAGCTTTTCCCAACAGTCTGTAAAATTATGCACCTCAGAATAGTAAAAGTCATATTCTGTGATTTAAGGACAGCCTTGGCATTCTCCGGCATGAGAAATTGCAGCGACCAAAGCATGTGATTAACTAAAAAGAACTTCATGTAAGGTTGTTAATGATTGTAAATTTTTTATACCATTTTTTCTGGTTAATTTTATTAGTGCTTCCTAGAGACTTACACATCTTGTAAGCCTGAGGAATTATTTGCCTTCATTTAAAAAAAAAAGAATGTGAAATCTCACATTTTTCCTGAGCTGCTATTCAGGAGAAGTTGCTTGTGTTTTTTAGATACCAGTTCAGAACTGTTCTATTTTTATCCTTGCATCTAGGTACCGTATTGATAGTTTTATGATCTGATCATTCTTTCAAGCTTATTATAATGTGATTATTTGAAAATGAGCTACTTATAAGCATTTGTGGTAGTTGTAAGTAGGTGAAAAAAGCAGATTTTTAGCATTTATTACTTCCATTGCTTCCCCATTTCTGTGAGTATCAATTTTGGGTCTCTGTTACCCCAGCAACAAGCTGTGACATCACAAACGATGGCTTTTTGGGTGCAGAACCAATGGCTGCTCTCAGTCTTTGTTAAGAAACAAAGATCTTGTTTTCATGTAAATGAGTGTAATTGCACAGCTTGCCCGGGGAAGTCTGTCTCAGGGTTGCATGTAGGATCCGCTTAGTTTCTGCTCTGTCTCTCCTGTCTGCAGTTGTGAGTGTGGACAGTCAGGCACTGGCTCCATGGAGAGAGAGCGGTCGCTCTGCTAGGTGAGGTTGCAGGGTGCTCCCGAGCGGGTCTGGGAGATCTGGGAAGATCTGGGAGATCTGGTGTCGGCCGCGACCCCTCGGGGCTGCCCGCCTGGGGCTGAGGGCGTGGTGTGTGTGTGTGTGGAGAGCAGGTGGTGCTCAGGAGGCGTTCGGAGCGCCCGTGTGTGTCACTGCTTGTGCCGTAGCTAAGTAAATGAAATTTTTTTGTATCTCAAAAAATTTTTTTCCTTTTTCCTGAAACATAACTCCTTAGGCAGAAGATGTCAGATTGAAAGTGTAATTATTGTTGTAAGATTTAAGTGCTCATAATTAAGAAAACAGACCAACCACAGACAAATTCTGAGCAAGAAGATTCTGTGGGCAAGCCCACCTCAAGGCTCTGCCTCTGCCAGGGTGGTGCTGGGTGGGTGGGGGGGGTGGGTGGGTATGTGTGTGTGTGTGTGCGCACGCTCACTGTTCCCTTTCTGCTGTGTCCTTCCTGACTTCAGGACCCCTCACAGGTCCCAGGGCAGTGTTGTCTCTGTGTGTGTGTATCTGCTGACCGTTCCCTTTCTGCTCTGTCCTTCTTGATTTTAGGACCCCTTACAGGTCCCAGGCAGACTCCACGGCGGAGAGAGCTGACAGCGTCGCCTGCAGCAGCCCGCTCTGTGTGATCACAAACCGCCCCCCGCCCAGCACTGCCAATGGGGTTCCAGCGGCCACTCTGCTCTGCGCCCCTGGCCCCGAGCCCTCTGTGGACGCCAGGGAGAAGAGGAGGTGTGTGACCCCGCCCCCTGTGGGCTCCGCCCTGAGGTAGGAGGCGGGGTGGGGGGCCCGAGTGAGTCCCCGGCTCAGAGACTTCTCGGAAACGGAGCTTTCTGTTATGGCTTGGGTTTGTACTTTGCCTTTCGGAGACTTTGGTGGAGATTTTAATTATTTCTGATTATTTAACATATGTACTTCTTCTGTCATGGATAGAGGCGTTTCTTCTTTCTCTTCGTCTTATGAGAAAGAGAGGCCCCTCGCAGGCCCTGTTTCCCCTTGGTGCTGGAGCACCTGAGCATGGCGAGGGTCTTGCTTCTGCACTGGGTGGTCCGTGCTGACCTCTGGCAGCAGAGAGCAGGGATGTGATAAAAGGCTCTGAGAAGCAGAGCTCGATGTACGGTGGGGATTAATTTGAGAAGAATGTCAGAAAAGGCAGTGGGCAGTGCATCACGAACGGGCGGGGGTCAGTGGCTGGCTGTTCTGTGGACTCACTGGAGGGGTGGAGGGAGCAGCCAAGAGCTGACCTCAGAGAATTCAGAGAGGAGCTGAGAGAACTGACTCCACACTTAGGGTAGAAAGCAAAGAAGAACTCGAGAGCCTCTGATGAAAGTGAAAGAGGAGACTGAAAAAGCTGGCTGAAAAGGATCATGGCATTTGGTCCCATCACTTCATGGCAAATAGATGGGAAAACAATGAAAACAGTAACAGACTTTATTTTTCTGGGCTCCAAAATCACTGCAGATGGTCACTGAAGCCTTGAAATTAAAAGATGCTTGCTCCTTGGAAGAAAAGTTAATGACAAACCTAGACAGCATATTAAAAAGCAGAGACATTACTTTGCCAACAAAGGTCCGTCTAGTCAAAGCTATGGTTTTTCCAGTGGTAATGTGTGGACGTGAGAGTTGGACTGTAAAGAAAGCTGAGCACCGAAGAATTGAGGCTTTTGAACTGTGGTGTTGGAGAAGACTCTTGAGAGTCCCTTGGACTGCAAGGAGATCCAACCAGTCCATCCTAAAGGAGATCAGTCCTGGGTGTTCATTGGAAGGACTGATGGTGAAGCTAAAACTCCAATAGTTTGGCCACCTGGTGTGAAGAACTAACTCTTGAAAAAGACCCTGATGCTGGGAAAGATTGAAGGTGGGAGGAGAAGGGGACGACAGAGGATGAGATGGTTGGATGGCATCACCGACTCGATGGACCTGGGTTTGAGTAAGCTCCGGGAGTTGGTGATGGACAGGGAGGCCTGGCGTGCTGCAGTCCATGGAGTCGCAAAGAGTCAGACATGACTGAGCAACTGAACTGAACTAACCATCGGGCCTGAGAGACCTTGGAAGGTATGACTGAAAAGGACAGGCCATTTGCTCCCACTTGAAGAGGTGGTGAAAAATAGAATGCATTCCATTTGGGAATTGAAGACTGGAGCCATAATTATCCCTTTTTTTAAGACTATAAAAAGAAGTGAAATCTTACCAAAATTTAGATTCCAGTTTGACTTCATTTTATTTCGAATATCCCAAAGAAGGAGTGTTGTATTTGTGAATGTGTGTATATGTGTAGCATGTCAGAGCATCTTTTCATCTATAAGATACAGGGAGTTAAACGTTTTAAATACTTGTTTATTGTAAAGACAGCTCTAAGACATGTCTTTTGAGACTAAATGGAAGGAAAGTAAGTTGAAAAAGTGCTTTTCTTTTTCCTTTCCTTCCTTTTTTCATTTATTTACATAAAACTTGAAGAGATTCTATTTTCTGGGCTAACAGATTGCAGAGCCAACAGTTGTCATCTTATAATGAGCTTCCAGCCAGGAAATTTTTAATAAATCTTCAGTATTTAATGTTTATGTATTTCATAGTTCAGATGTAATTTAGATACTGTTAGTTTCATCCAGAAAGTAAATGCAAATGTAATCTTTCATTTGCTGAAAAGAAACTCCCTTTGAAGACTGCTCCTGAGGGGAGACAGGCGACATGGGTTAGATCCACCGTCGGGACCACGGGTCCTGAAGGGCGGCTCAACCAGGCGATGCAGGCTGCGCCGCTAGCGCTCGGGGGCCGCAGGGAGAGCAGGGGGCACGGTGACTGTCTGCTGGGGCTTTAGAACCTCTGAGCAGTAACCTGCTGCGGACTGTGAGCTTGTTTCAGAAGTTTAATGCAATCCACAAATATTTACCGAGTAACAGCCACGTACCACGTGCCATGTGGAATGTGGGTGCATTTCACCAAGGAGCGCCGAGTATAAAAGAATTAAGTCAAAGTGTCTTACACATACTCTGAGTTGTGACGACAGGCCTTACAGAGGACGTCTGAGGGGTCAGAGAAAGTCAGGCCAGGAGTGCGAGGCCCGCCCTGTTGAGAGCTGCGGGGAGGGGGTGCACACTCCAGGCAGCGCATGCAGGCCCTGCAGAGGGGCCGTGTGCGAGGCACCCTGTGCTCCAGAGACCCTGGAGGAGACTGATGTGCGGAGGGTGAGGGCCCGGGTGGTCCGGGCTGAAGCCCCAGGGCAGGCAGGGGCTGCAAGGGGCGGCCGCCACAGCTGGTGAGGAGTGCGGGCTTCCGCTCAGAGCCGTCATCGGCCTCGGGAAGAGTGTTTGGGACACCTTACAGAGGTGCAAGTCACCCAGCGTGCGAGTCCGCAGGTGCAATCACCCGTGCACGCCAGAGCCTCTCATCACCTGGAGAGGAGCCCGGCCCCGGGTCTCCACACTCCCCGTCCTGTGGTCACTCTGGGGGTCCCTGTCCGAAAGTGTCGCCCCAAAGTGCAGTCTGCGCGTGGTCCGCTGTGACTGGCTGCTTTCCCCAGCCTGGTGTCTCCCAGGCTCTCCCACGCTGTGGCGTGTGTCAGGACTGCCTTCTTTCTGCGGGTGAGCACTGTCCGTTGCATGGCTCTCCTCCATTGTGTTTGACATTCGTAAGATGCTGGACATCTGGATTGTTCCTGCCTCTTGGCTGTTAGGGTCTGGAGGCATGGATTTTGCTCCCAGTATGGACTCAGGATGCCGGGCTGTGGCCCTGAGTGGGCTTAGGCCTTTCAGCAGGAGCCCATCTGGGCTGCCCGGGTCCTGGCCCCTGCTCCAGAAAAGGGGCAAGGGTCTGGGCAGGGATGGAAAAATGTTTTTAAGTTTTTTTCTCAAGATTTTGAAGAATATGTATGTTTATGTTATTTTCTTCTTCAGATTACTCTCCTTTATAGGAGAATATAGTAATATAGTAATATAGTATATTACAAGATACAGAATGTAATTCACTGTGCTTACAGTAGTCTTTATCATCAGAAAAATCTCCTTTGGGCTATTTTTACTACGCATGCAGTTTGGAAATCCCAAGCCAAGAGTCTAACATAGAAACCAGGTGTGTACTCTGGAAGTCTGGGGGCCAGCATGGCACAAACATGTTTAAAACTACCTTGAAAAGGAGCATGTGTCCAGCCTGGGGTCTGAGACATTTCTGTGCCGCGGTCCCCTCCAGAGACACCCTTGCAGGGAACGCTGCAAGCGCTGTGGCAGGTGAGTCCCGCAAGGGCGCGCTTGCCACGCGGGGTCCAGGTCTGCAAGCTCCGGCGGAAAATGCGGACTGTGCTTCGACTGGTCACATCAACAGTCAGTCCGCAGGATTTTATTGGAGCCAGACTGGAGGAGTGTGACCTGGAAGACTATCTTGGGAAGCTCTGAGGGTGGTTCTTCCCGTTGGAGGTCCTGGCACAGCAGCTCAGCAAGGTTTGGGGCACCAGGCTGCGTGCCCACACACCACGTCGTGCTGACGGTTGACATGACCCGGGTCTGCTCATCCTCACAGCCCCGTCCAGAAGGAAGGCTCGCTCTGAGGGGCCATCTCGTCGGGGCTGGGGCTGCTGCTACATGTAGTTGAGCAGGCGTTTCTGCCGACAGAGGTCTGTGTGAAAGTCAGACACACCGCACAGTAGGGGGTGGGGGGCCAGAGGGCAGAGACAGTTGTTTCATGTCTGAATCATTCTTGTCTTGCCGTAAAGTGTGAGTTTTATTCACAGAGTAACTGGCAGTGACCAGTTGTACTAAAGGCAGGTCTATAGGCAGAGCAGTCTGGTGAGGGGGTCGGGGGCGCTTCTTGAGACAGGGGGGTCTGCTGCATGCTCGTGTGTCCGATGGCGCTGCGTGAGCATGCTGCAGCCTCGCGGTGAGGTTGCTGTGTGCCCGGGAGAGGTGTCAGGAGGCACGGTCCCAGGAGGGCTGGCCCATGTGTCCCTGGGGAGGCCAGCAGGCCACCCGGGAGCCGCGGGTCTGAGGTCAGGCCTGTGGACAGGCCAGCCGCACAGTGCAGATCGGAGGCGCAGGGGAGCTGCCCAAGGAGGTGCCAGGCTTGAGTTTTGAAGGGTCAGTTGTGGGAGGTGGGTGGTGATTTAGAGGGAACACGAGATGCTCAAGGAACAGGCTCGCTGAGCCTGACTCTGGGGGAGGTGAGGCCGTGCAGCGTCCCCGCTGTCTTCTGTGAAGCAGGTCTAGGTGAAGAAGTAGTGTTCTGTGGCTAAGTGAGCTTGCCCAGCTGCGGTCAGACAGGGTGAACAGGCTTCCTCTCCAGCCTCAGGGCAGGGAGGGTGAGCATCTGCAGCCTTCCCCACGTTCCGTGTCTGCTGAATCCTTGTGTTTTTCACAGGAACCCCAGTGGTCTTCCATTGGAAACAGTTGGGAAGCTGGTGCCCCAGAGGCGGGCAGGAGCCGGTGGTGGTGTCTCTCTGTGCTGAGAAACCTGAGCTGCTGCTCTCAGGGCCGTGGGCTGGAGTGTGTCCAGCTGGGAAATGACTTGATCAAATAAAACATGCCACTTAAGCCTTTACAGAATTAAAGCCATTCAGTTTCTCCTTCAGACAAACACAGGCTGAAAGAGAAATAAATCACATGTTTTGCAAACAACTGAATTTTTCTTCTGAGAAAACACGCTGGGTGCTCATTCTCGTCCTGATGCGCGGCTTTCTCTGTGATCGGGTCCTCGCGGCGGTTTTCTGGCTCCTGCTGGGACGTGGAGGCCTGGAGCCTGTGTTTA